CTCAGGTGCTCACAGAATGCCACAGTACTGAACAGTTTTGTTTATCTGAATGGCACATTTAGAAATGAGAATTTGCCCTTGTACATTTACCTTGCCCTTTTTTGTCTTTTTACAGATCTGACAAAATGCATTTGTCTTAAGATCTTGTTATTTCTGAGCTCGATACTGCTTCCCATAATACTCATCATAGAATGAAAGGCAATATGCAGAAGTTCAGGTGAGTTCACAGTTCATAAATCCAGTTTACATGCCCTAAGAAAAAGCTCAGATTGCATTAAAAAAGTCGTTCTGCCTTTAATTGTTATTTGTTTTATAGTACTTAAGAATACTTCTGTTAAATTACTAGATTCACACCACAAATTAAATTAGTAAAAGATTGTTTGCTATTCTGAGAAGTAAAAATCTAGACGATATTGTCATCTTTGGAGAAAGTAAGCTAAAATTTATTTTAAAAGATAGCTAAAGCTAAGCTAAAGCTAAAGCTAAGCTTAGCTAAAGCTAAGAACAGATGGGAAAAAAAAAAAAACTAAAAGCAATGGAAACAAAAACTAAATGTCCTTTTCTGCACAATTCCTAAAAGGATAACCATGTGCCTATCTCGACAAGACACTGGGACAAAAAATAGTGAATGAAAACAAGACATTTTCTGTAGTTAGGAGAAAGAAGTTCTTGGGTTTCAACATCTATTATTCAGAGATAACTATTATCTGAATAAATAGTTAGATATTTTCAGATAGAATGGAAAAATTTGCCTGCTGAAATTTTGCAGGCCTAAGAGAAGGGTTGTGCTACAGCGTATTCACAAGTAATCCAGAGCACCCCCATCTCTAACAGGAGCTGTGTGGCAAGAGCAGATTTGCACCCTGCCCTATGAATATGGGATAATGTGCTTGTAATTCACGTTTGCTATAAAAGCCAGTAAGTGCACAGTAGTTCTGTGAACATGTATGTGAGAGTGTGCAGGGGGATTAAAAACTTCTGAGATAACTGCAGAAGGGTACTTAGAAATTTGCAGGTGTTTATTAACACTTTAGAGATGTCTAGTGTTGTTGTTATCTGCTGTATTTCTGCTATTGATCTTGATGCTTGATGGCTAGTTAACATTTATTAATAAATAAAATAAATAAATAAACCACTTTGATATTGATCTGATTTAAACCTCATGGCTGAGCAGTTTTTCCATGTGACAATCATGATGGAATAAAACATGAAGAGGAAATAAATACTTTTTTTTCTAATACAGAAATGCAGAGACATCAACTGAAGGTACTAAAAGACAGATCCAAGACCAAAAAAAAGGAGTTATTTCTTCAAACAACATGTAAAGTAATCTGAGCATTGTTTGCCATAACGTGTACTGGATGCTAAATGGGTTAAACACTGACTGAAAGAAATCCATGCAAGAAAAATAGCTATTAAAAATAATAGATACATCTGCTGAATGACATATTATTGAATATACCAAATATATTCCATATACAGAATGATTACACAGGAAAACACGACATGTTTGCTCTATTCTTGTCTTTTTTGCCAGACATTCACCAGTAGCCTCTGCTAGAAAAAAGGTATTGGGCCAGACAGACCTTTGATCTAAGCAGTTGTTTGTTGTTTTCTCTCTCTCTGGGAGGATTTCTTTTTCTCTACTAAAAACTAATTCAGGAGTACTTCTGCCATGTTGCTTAAGCATTGCACCTAAATCCTTTTGTATCCTATAATAAGTACTAAGGACAAACTGAATTTCCACAAAACCACAAGTACCAAACATTATAAATGAATATAAGTCAAAGTAAATAAAATTCTCCCTGTTACATTAATGGAATTCCAAAGTCCCCCTGAACCCCAGAAACGTTGGCACAGTATACAATTTATATAATGATTCTGTGGAAAGCCCTTAGAAGTGCAGGAGTAATGCTCTGCTCTTCCCCTACCACAGGAATGATCCACAAAACAATCTAAAATCAGTTCTCAGCTCAGTGAATTTTAATCCAGACAAAACAAAGAAGAGGAGATGACCATTAACTTGGCTTCCTTTACTCTCCTTGGAAGCTTTATGCTATCAGTCCACTTTAAGAGAGAAAGAACAAATGGTCCCCATTTACCTAAGGATTTAGATTAAATGCTACAGTCAAACAGTAAATGAAGAGCAATCCCTATATGGAATTGGAAATCACTTGCTTCAAGGTGCTCTCACTTCTCCTCCCACCCAAGCAAATATTTTTCACAAGAAATAACAGATTTTTTTCACAGGATAGTTTTCTTTCAAAGCTGAATTTCAGAAGCACAAATAAGTAGATGTCCCATCAAGAAACAGTTTTAGGCCTATAAAAGTACTTTTCAACATTACTCTAATCACAGGAACATGCTAACCTTTCCTGAGAAAGATAAAATAACAGTTTAGCTCCATTTAGTGTCAGAAGTAAATATTTTCACAGCAGTTCAGTGATAATGCAGCACTTTTGCAAAATAACCCAGGATTCTGTTGTCAGAGTGAGTTGTTTTCTTGGGAAGTGTATTTAAGAGTTAAAATATTCCACTCTATCATAATATGAGGATACTTACCTTTTCCCAAAGACTTACACATGCTCATGACAAGACAACGTATTCCAAAGAATCCCAAAGCTTGAAACAAATTTCACAGGCACAAAACACAGTCACTGGACCAATTTTTTCTTATAGCTAGGCACAGCACATGACTCAAAGTGATCTTAACTTCAAATGCAGTGTATGGAAGGGGTGACTGAGGTAGGGAGGACAGGACTGAGGTAGAAATGGACTAGAAACTACTGGCAAACTATCAAACTACTGCAGCCTTCATAGAAAATAAATTCTGGAGACATTGTGTCAAAGATAGTTTAATGCCAGGATCTTACAAAACAACATAAAAAATGTTTCAAAATCCCAACATAAGCATTGATTCCATTAACATTTCTATTGAATAACATTTACCCATTTTGATTCCTTTCTTCTCCTGTCTTCATTTTCAAACAGGATTTAAATATTTTTCTAAAGAAAGTCAATACTGACATCTGCTTATAAAAACTTCTCCAACCACTCATTAGCATAGTATTTAAGTATTAATGCTGTATGACAAGTCCCTAACCCTTCTTTTGACAGTTTTGACCACTAATAGTTGAAAGAGTACCACAATATCTTACAAAAATAATTTGCAAGATCTGCCTGTGTATTTTAAGGAAGCTGCAGATGTATTAACATACTTTGCTTTTTCAAAAAACAGTTCAGACTTTCATGCCACTTTCTCTGCTATTCCATCTGTCATCTTGGTTTATTACATTGTCCTCTTTTTGGAGATCACAGATGTGGTTTTTGGGAGGGAAAAGAATGAACCTCCTCCAATTAGGAGAAGCTTAGGCTCTGATCCTGAAAACATATCTATATACTTCATTCTTCAACAGAACATATTCCCCTCTTTAGACGACTAATGTAATGTAGTCTTTTGTAGGCAGATACAGAATCTTTTGTGTATTGCACAGTATAAACAAGTAAATAAAGCTTTATAGGTGTATATTTTCAAATTCTTAATGATATCTAATCACCAAGTGTGACAGTCAACAATTATCCCTAACAGATGCATTCTGACTCTAGTGTAATCTAGTGTCCCAGATTCTGGGACTTGTGTTCATCTTTTTGCACATAAATGTGTGCTGACACCAAAATAAAAAGTCAACACTAAGGCCTTTTGAAAAAGCCCAGGCCACCATTTACCCAGGCCTGCTTTTCCATTTACCTCCTGTTGTGGTTTGAGGCTTGGAATGGGGTCGTGACCTTCCAGCAACTGGGAGGACCCCGGGTGGGGGTGAAACCATTGTATTCCCTCCCCTTCCCACACACACTCTGATAAGAGGCAGGGAGTGGTTTCTTATTTCACTCCTGCCTTGGAGCTCGGAGAGGGAGGTTGTCCTTTCACTCCGTGGGACCCTGGAACCATTTCTGAGGGTTTTGTATATTTTATTTTTTGTATTTTTTTCCCCTAATCTTTGTATATATTATTTTCCTTACTTCCCTTTTTCATTTTCTGTTCCTTGTTAAACAATATACTTCATTTTTTTTTCCAAAGTGTCTCTCTCTCTCTTGGGGGGGGGGAGAGGCGAGTACATAGTTCTGTTCCATGTGGGTCCTGCCCTGAACCCCTTTTTACACGGAAACAGGACACCTCCCATCTACCGACCCATATAAATTTGTCAACTTGCCCTTGCTTTCATTTATGCTGAGTACTCAAATATTTTACCAATATATGAACAGAAGAAAAGTAGGGGGAATGAATACAGAGTGATATCAAAATTTAAAAATACCTATCTTTTATGATTTATTAACACTCCTTTCATATAAGGCACATTAACAACCACGCTATCCTGCAATTAAAATTGATATAGTGCCTTAAGAAATCAGATTCAACGGCAAGGAAGATAACACTGTTACAATGTATAATTCATGTTGTCAGCGTAATATTATAATTTAATTAAGAGACAAACACATTTTGCCTCTTCAGCAGTTACTTTTTTAAATCGGTGTCATGCATGATAAAGATGATTATGTAAATGACTGTATCAAAAATTTGTATGATTTCTCTCATAAAAGCTTCCCAATTCTACACATTTTCTTCAGACTTTTTCAAGAAATTGGCACTTAGAGTATATAAATAATAATATATTTTGACTACATTAAAAAAAAATTGGGTAAAAATCAATCTGCCATAGTTCCAGAGTTTCCTGAATAGGCTTAAAATGCATCTCCAGTAGTCTCTGTTACTTTAGTGTTAAATAATGAGGTAGTACGTTGTTCCAAAATTGTTCTGAATTATGTAAACCATTTGCTAGATGCTGTTTGGACTTCACTTTTTGTTTAGAGCTGTTTGGTAAAGCAGTACTGTCTCTCTTCTCTGGCTTCCTGCTTTTGTTTTTATTTTGTAGAAGCTTATTACTGTAAGCTTTTCTTTTACCTTTTGCTTTTTCCTCTTCCTCTCCTTCTTCCTCCTCTCCTTCATCCTCTTCCTCCTCTGTCACAGCCCCTTCCTCCTCTTCTCCTTCTTCCCCCTCTCCCTCTTCCTCCTTTCCTTCTTTCCTCTCTCCCTCTTCCTCCTCCTCTCCTTCTTCCCGTCCTCCCTCTTCCTCTACACCTTCTTCCTCCTCTCCTTCTCCCTCCTCCTCTGCCTCTTCTTCCTCCTTTCCCTCTTCTTCTTCTTCCTCCTCTCCTCCTTCTTCTATTCCCTCTTCCTCCTCCCCCTCTTCTTCTACTCCCTCTTTTTCCTCTTCCTCTGTTTCCTCCTTTTCCTCCATTTCCTCTTCTTCCTCCTCTCCCTCTTTTTCCTCCTCTCCCTCTTCTTCTTCTTCTTCCAATGCCTCTTCTTCCTCATCTTCTTCATACCCCTCTTCTTCTTCTTCTTCTTCTTCTTCTCCTCCTCCTCCTTCTTCTTCTCCTCCTCCTACTTCTTCTTCTTCTTCTCTTAATCCCTCATTTTCTTCCACTCCTCCCTCTTCTTCATCCCCTTCCTCTTCGTCATTTTCCCACTCCTCTTCTTTGTTTTCATCTTCTTCCTCTTCCTCCCCTTCTGCTTCTGCCTCTACTCCTTTCTCTTCCTCCTCCTCTTCACCTTTTCTCTCCTCTCCCACTTCACCCTCCTCCTCTTCTTTGTTTTCATCTTCTTCCTCTTCCTCCCCTTCTGCTTCTGCCTCTACTCCTTTCTCTTCCTCCTCCTCTTCACCTTTTCTCTCCTCTCCCACTTCACACTCCTCCTCTTCTTCTTCTCCCACTCCACCCTCCCTCACCTCCTTAGTCCTTCTATTAGCATCTTCCTCTCCTTGTTCTTCTTTGCATAGCTCTTCTTCTTCCCTCCCTGCCAATGATTCTTCTAACTTCTCCTCTTCACCCTCTTCGTCTTCTTCATTCTCCCTGTCTTTGTCTTCTTCACCTTCCTTTTCATCTTCTCCTTCCTCTTCTGCCTCTATCTCTTTTTCTTCCTCCCTCTCGCTTTCTTCACCTCCTTCCTCACTCTCATCTCTTCCCTCACTTTTAACCTGTTCCTCCTTCCCCTCCTCAGTGTCTTCATCTTTTGCATTCTCCTCCCCCATATCCTCCTTTTCTCTCTCACTCAGCATTTCTTCTTCCTCCATCAACCCACCTTCCTCATCTCCTTGCCCTTTGCCATCTCTCTGATTAACCTCTTCATTCTCTTCTGCACCCTCACTCTCACTGTCTCTTTCAGCCTGTGATTCCTCTCTTTCATTTTCTTCCTCATTATCTTTTTCCTCTTCATCTTCATCGCTTTCTGCTGAAACCTCATCTCTTTCTTCTTTAACCTCACTCTCTTCTTCCTCCCCTAGTTCACCATCACTGTCAACTGTTTCATCTAGCTTTTCTTTTTCACTTTCACTCTTTTCACTGCCTTCACTCTCCTGCTTTTGATTAGATTCCTCCTCATTCCCATTTTCTAACTGCCTGTCTTCTTCAGATTTAGCTTCAGAATTTGTTTCTTCCTCATGCAGGCTTTTTATATCCGTCTCTTCTACATAATCTTTCTCTTTGTTTGTACCTTGCATCTCCTCAATCTCACTGTCTTCTTTTTCTATGTCCAAATCTTTCACTTTTTGTACTGTTTTCACTGGCTTCAGGACCTCTTGGCCTTCATAGTAGGCCTCTTCTTTTTCCCTTCTCTTAAGTATATATTTTGGAATATAATTATTACTTTCCTCAGTTGAAGAAGATGATGACATAGTTACAGCTATTTGTTTCAAAAAATGATCCTTTTTTTTAAACACTCTCTGCTCTTCACCTTCTTCTCTTCTCATGCATATTATTTCACATTTATCAGATTTTTCAGCAACATCCTTTATTTTGGTTTGACTTTCTATTGCTTCTTGACTTCCTTGCTTTTTAACAGGATTGTATTTTTGTACAATTAATGAATCAGTCTGAGGCTGATCCCTGGATGTAGAAGGAAGTACTTCTATTTTAAGGGACTGCTTAGATTTAACCGCTTTTGACTTTTTACTGGAAGAAGTTGTTTCTTCAGTCAGAATTTGTTTTTCAGTGGGAAGACTGTAAGTTACATCGTCTCTGACAAATTCAGGATCTTCCACATATTCTTTTTGCCTTTTAACTAATCTGCATTTGTCCCTAGTAATTTGTTGACCACCATTTTTTAAAGTACTAATACTTTGTGTACGCTCAGATTTACCTTTCATTGTACTTTTTTTGGCCACAGGCTTTCCTACAAAGGTATTACTTTTTTCTAAATCTTGTCCCAGTGACTCTGCGGGTGAAGACTGCTTTTGTAAAGAGCCAGAGTCTAATTTTGAGCCTTCTTTCAAGAAACCAGAATCCTTGTTTTTCAGCCCACCCTTACCATCTCTTTTCAGTTTCACATTTTTATTGTTCTTCTATTCCACATGAGAAGCAGAAAATTAAAAAGAAAGAAGGAAAGCATTAAGGACAAATGACAGCAGAACAAAAAGGTTAAGAAACGTCTGAACAAGAAAAGAAACAATTTGTGTGAGGGGACTAAATGATAGCATAAAAGGTAGAGCAGTTCACATGAAATGAATTTACAAATGCACATACTAGAAGAAAGTGTCAGTCTGTTGATGGTAAATGTACTACTACACCTTCTTCACTACCCAAGCACTCAAAAGTGAAAGCAGTAAGAACTGTGCAGCCAGTATAAGCTAAACTGTGCACCCATAAGCTAAAGCACATGCAATGCGTGAGGCTGTGCCAGCAGAAGGAAAGAACTACTAAGCTCTTTTACACCTTCCTCCACCTTGCCCCTCGGGAAATCTGATCCACTCACTGTTATGCTCTTTCTAACAGGTTTGAAAATCTGTTGTCTTTCTGCTTTAAATTTTACACTTAACAAACTCTGCATAAAAAAATTTTAAATATAAAATAAAATCATCATTAAATATACCAAAATGCTGAAATACGTGGATCAGTTTAGGAGTGAAACAGAAAAATAATACAAAATTATTGTCATTTCATAATTAAAACCAGTGTTATTGCTCCTTTAAATATTGCTCATGGTGAATATATTTGCTTACATTGTGTCCCAAAATTCAGTTAATACATTTCAGTATCAACAAACCAGTAGACATGCATCTTATCAGCTTAATCTACAAAGTTTATATGATAGTCTCTTGCTCCTTAAACTGGTGAGATATTATGTACTCTCATCTTAAACTATGCTGGATATAAGGAGCAATATGTGCCTGCACAAATTCTCTCTGACTTCAGTCAGCTTCTTAGAATTTTATCTCTTTGATATGCAGAAAATTAGGAAGAGGAGGCCTAACAAGTTTGTCCAGCTTTTTTAAAACTCAAAGCAGAACAATAAAGATCAAGGATAATACACGAATTATACATCTTTTAAACATCACTGTAAGTATAGTTATGTAAAATTAGTTACCTTTTGTTTTTGGAGTGGTGATAATTTTAAGGACTGGTCACTGGGATTCAATTCCATTGCGTGTGTCTGCAAAAAATAAGATCTCTATTAAAAAAAAGTAAATAAAACTATTAGGGAAAATAGCATCAAAGGCCAGTTCTACTAAAAAGAGTTGTTATATGAACATTTTAGTATTATTGCACAGTAAAGTTGAGACAAATCTGTATGATCACTGAACTCACCCATTTCACTTTCCCTCATTTACTGCTTATAAAAAGAATGGTGATGAGCTTAGATGTCAACATTTAAACTGTTTGTAGAGACTGAAAGCTACATGCCCTCTCCCAGAGGGTACAAGCACATTTTAGAGCCACCAGCCACTCACTGTGAAGCTGTGGCTACAAATATAACACCTTTTTCCCTTATCATCACAACAGTCAACTTAACACCCAGTTTAATACCACCACCTTGGAAGAACATGTTCAAAGAAACATTACATAGCAGAAATTTTCATTGGAATCTAATACCTTTATCTCTTCTTCATAAAGCAAAAAATCAAAAGGCAAGGCAACATAGGATACTACTAGGTGGGCAAGTACAGTGAGATTTTGGTCATCCCTTCTCATATACTCCAAAAGACAAAATGTTCTTTGCTGCTGTTCCTTAGCTTCTGGTTTTGCCCACACAGTGAACATGGACAGCTCTGCTTTCTGACCCCCAAGAACTTATACCATCAATATGATAGTAAAGGTTTTTCTCCTCTTGTTGTATTTGCCAGATGTATGTCACCACAGTTTAGAAAAACAGCTATGCCTTAACATATTACTTTCATTCAGATTTAAGAAAAGCAATCCTTCCTTCTATTTTGACAAGTTTGCCTGTCTTTTTTTTCAAATTTACTGTTTCATTTTGATAAATGTTTTAAAACTGATTGACAATGGGTACAAAAACAAAAGGGAGAACAAAGTCTAGCACATAGACTTAGTCTCACACACAAAAAGAAGCTTTACAAGGAGAGGAAAAAAGGACATCTAGAATGTGGGGCATATAAGGAAGCAGTCCGAGCAGCAAGAGACCTGGTGAGAAAAGCTAAAGCTCAGTTTGAATTAAATCTAGCCAGGGAGATTAAGGAGAATAGCAAAACCTTCTTCAGGTACATTAATGGTAAAAGGAAGAGTAGGGAAGCTGTGGGCCCCCTCAGGAGGGAAATGGGTGAGCTGGTTACAAGTGGCATGGAGAAGGCTGAGGTTCTCAATGACTTCTTTACCTCAGTCAACACCGGCAAGGTCTCCAACTACATTCCCGGAGTCACAGAAGACAATGGCAGGGTCTTGAAGGAAGAGCTGCCCATTGTAAGTGAAGATCAGGTTTGAGACCACCTGAGGAACCTGAAAGTGTATAAGTCCATGGGACACGATGGGATACACCCACAGGTACTGAGGGAGCTGGTGGATGAGGTTGCTAAACCCCTCTCTGTTATATTCCAAAAGTCATGGCAGTCTGGTGAAGTCCCCACTGACTGGAAAAGGGGAAACATAACCCCCATTTTCAAAAAGGGTAAGAAGGAAGAACCAGGGAACTATAGGCCAGTCAGTCTCACCTCTGTGCCTGGAAAGATCATGGAGCAGATCCTCCTGGAGGCACTGCTGAGACAGAATAATAACGAAGAGATGTTTGGGCATAGTCAACTTGGCTTCACTAAGGGCAAATCATGCCTGACAAACCTGATGACCTTCTATGAAAAGGTCACAACATCATCAGATGAGGGACAAGCAACTGATGTCATTTACCTGGACCTGAGCAAAGCCTCTGATGCTGTCCCCCACGACATCCTGGTCTCCAAGCTCTTAAAATACGGATTTGATGGATGGACGACACGGTGGATAAAGAACTGGCTTGAT